ACAAAACAAAGACAAAAAAAGTACAAAAAGTGAAAATAATCAAGTGTAGGGAGATAAAACACCAACTAAAAGATACAAAATAAGGTTAAATTTCTGCTGTTTGTGTCTTTTTGCTTCTCAGTGATGATCTGTGTAGTTATCCAGCCTCATGTTTTTATTTGTTTTGTTTTTTCCAGCTGCCTATCACACGAGGCTGACACCAAACAGCCGGCGGTAAAACCCTCAGGTGATCTGGAAAGCACCAAGACGTAATCAGACTCCAAAGGTCACCATCAGCTGAGCTTAGCATGGAAACTATAGTGATGCCGACATACAAGACGGAGAAAAAGGCAGCTTATTTTTGTGCTAAGCTAAGCTAACACGTGGACAACCTGGGGTCCGTTCTTCGTACCTCGCTAAGTAAGTTAGCTGGATTAGATTGTTGACGATTTCGCGTGATCCTGGATCGTTCTGTTCTCCGAAGCTCATCCGGGACTTGCTGCCATAGCAACAGATCCGTAAGCGTAAACCTGCTCGGGAGCAGGTTTACTTTATGTAAACAGGATTAGATCGCGGCCACTCAGGTATGTCCGCTTCATGTATACGAAAGCAACAGCGATATTCCACCACTGTTTTACCATAAATAAATAACATCAATGTAACTAAAGATAATGCAGCACTTGATCCTTTTATTGATTCCATACAGATACATACAGGTCATCTCCTAACAAAAAGGGAAATGTACTATTAATCATTCTATTTCATGTATTTGATTATTTCAGATGTAAGTCATATTTTAGAGTAGTAATAGTAAATTACTTCATGTAATCAAGATGAGAGACCACAGCTATAAAAGCGAAGGTGGATTTGGGAAGCCTGTCGCAGCCATGTCCTGTCCGTATACGCGAGCCACCCATTGCGGAAGGTGCAAGATTGATAAGGAGAGCCAGATTCACGTATATGCGGGACAGACAGGATCCTTTAGCTCAGCGCGACAGTGTGCTCATAGAGAGATATCGATTTTCCCGTGAGGGTATTATTTACTTAACCAACTTGTTGACGAGGGGGTGCAGGACCACCACCTGTCTTTTTTTGCTCTGCCCTTTTCTTGGTTGCTGTTATAAACAAACAGATTATTTCAGGGTCTCTTTCCAAGAGACAAAAGCAATATAAGTGATAAATATTACCATTCTGTAGAATATTCTTATATTTCACTTTTACTTGTTCCCATGTTCTAGTGGGTCCTGTTGTGGCTCTAATGTGAAAGAGGATATAATAAAAATATTATGTAATATAATATATAATATAGTGTAATATAATAAATCTACCCTACCGCCTACTGGTGTTGGCCAGAGGGGCCGATGGCGCGATATGGCAGCCTGGCTTCTGTCAGTCTGCCCCAGGGCAGCTGTGGCTACAACCTAGTTGCACCAGGTATAGTCATAAGCGTTTTGGACTTGACCACCAAGAAGGCGTTTGTTGCTCTGAACCTAGAATGCATACAGTGGATGTGGAGAGGAACGGGTAAAATAGGAGGACATTGTAAAAGCCTCTCCTGAGGAATGCCCTTGAAAAGCGCTATATAAATCCAATCCATTATTATTTTTATTATTAAATTACTTACGAGTTTAATTTGTCAGCAACTTTCTGCCAGCCCTCTCTCCTTGCTTTTGCAGCCTTTGCAGTGTTCCCTTGCGTTTTAATTAAACTCTGAAACTCCTGAAATCCCTCAATCAAGAGTTCTTGCTCTGCTGCCGAAAAATACGAGCGCGCTCCTTCGACATTTTCGCCGACCAATCAAAGGGTTGCCGATCAATGTTTCTACTATCGATGCGTAGCCCCTTTAAGCCACCCAGTGATCTCACATTACTTCATCCAGCTGTACTAATCGTCAACAACAGGTGTGTTCGGAGAACCGGAATAGCGAGCTCAAAGTTAGCGCGATGATTTGATCTTGGATGTAGTAAGCGACATACGAAGAACGGACCCCTGTTTTATGTTTGTTTGTTTTGGGGAATTGATCACACCGATGAGAAATTGCTCTTAAGCTGCAGAGGAAAACTATTTTCCAGACTTGATTAACATCTAAAACCTACAAAACCTACACTTCAGAAGGAAAAATCCTCACCTGAGGTTCAACATTATTTGCAGTCCCAACACTAAAAGATATTTTGTCACCCTAACACATTAACACGTCCTCAGTTTAACTGTGCTGACTCATTGGGTTCTTTCACTCATTTACAGCAGTTTACAGTAAATCTTCAGGGTTTGTCCTTTTCACCGTGAATCCAAACCTCAGTAAGAGTATTTATTTATTTACTTTGTTGTTTTATATTGTCACATATTTGCTGTTGTATATTTCTTAATCAGTGTATAATCTGTTATTTCTTATCAAAGCATTGGCTACTGGCTGTTTTGTAAGAAAATAAAGCTCCTTTAGAGGTACCGCTTCTTGTCCTTCCTAAAAACCTGCATATATATGGAAGCAGGGCTGTCTCCAGGAATTTTTAGATGGGGTGGCACAGGAACTTGGGGGGGGGGGGGGGGGTATTAATACCAAACTAAATCACTTATGTGATTAAATCATTACGAGTTGCTGAATTTTCAGACTGTGGACAGGCTTCCTGCTTCCATAAAAGTTCATTAGGTGTGGCATGTAACAAAATGGATGGCTCCATTTTTATATGAGTTTAAGAGTAAATAAGTCTACAGTTGTATTTACTATGGTGCATGGAAGAGAAAAAGGCTGTTTCCCAGAAAAAATGACTTCCAGAAGGAATTTAGAGGGGGCACCTGAGGCCCTCCCCTTAGCTACGTCACTGATCTGGTGTATTTTTAACTTGATGATGCTTTTAATTTGTTAATTTCCTTACAGGTACCTTCTGTAATTAAGCTTTGTTGAATTCAAGATTTCGTTTTCTTTCTTTTATTTTTTAACCACGGGGGCAGCATTTTACCTGCTGCTTAACTTCTGGCAGACTGTCATTGCAAATAAGAACGTCTGAAAAGGGTGTCTGGCAAAATAAGGGTTTGCTGACTCACTGCACCATCTTCTGGTACAAGATGGTATTACATGAATGCCCAGCCCTAGTTCAGCTTTAGTTTTTATCTCTACAACACAACACATAAACACTTTGGAAATAAACTCTCCAGTTGTTCCTTCACATTTTGCTGATTGTTTAGTTAATTATGTAAACTTTTAAACTATTTTTAAAGATAAGGTTTTACAATAAGTACTTTGGCTGAGAGCAGCAGCAGAGAGGCATTTGACTTTGCTGCAGGGGCCAGACAGGTTCACAGCCAGCAGGTCGGGGCAACAAAGGCTGCGAGGAAAGGAGGATTAAGAGATTAATGAGGTTGCATTAGCTCAACACCAATTAGGATTCCTCTCCTTCCCTCTCTCAGCCAAAGGCAAAAGAGCCAGCTGACTTTTCTGCTGTTTTGAGTCAATTGTTCCATATTAACTTTTTTTTAAAAAGTAATGGGGGGCTTTTAAGTCCAGTATGTTCATTTAAATCCTGTTTGGCCTCCTGTGGCAACAGGGCCTCACACATATCTGTGGAGGTTATTTGCGCTCTCTAAAAAACCCCCAAAAAGAGTGGAAATGATGATTGGGAGTTAACTGCCCTCTGGTGACAACAATACAAATATATCAAGATTATTTAAAAAAAAAAAAATCTGAGAAATTTAAATGTTTATGTTAAGAATAAATTTCATCAATAAGCCTAAACTCACTTCCCCTTTCAGGTCTAATCTGAATGAAAGTGATAGCCTGAAAGTGGCTGAGAGGTTTTTCAGCAACACACACACACACACACAAGTGTGCTCACAGATATTTATATCCACCGCCAAAGATGGCACTCGGCAAGGTGGAGGAGGAGGTGTGTGTGTGTGTCCATCGTGGTGGGCACAGACAGCGGGAAGGGAAGGGACGGACAGGGAGGAAAACACCTGGACTGTTCACTCAGTGAAGCTCGGAGCCGACAGCCAAGCCAGGAGAGCTGCCAGTGAATACACACACACACACACACACACACACACACACACACACACACACACACACACACACACACAGTAAAGTTCAAAGTCAAAGAGGTCCAGACTGAATCTCTGTGAAATGGTTTCCTTTCAGTAAATATTAACATTGGTAATTCATCCATGAAAAAAAGGAAGGAAGAGAAAACGCTCCATAGTGGATCAAATCTGTAAAAGAGGCAGAACCACATTTAATGTGTTTCTTTAGGCACCTTGTTACTAACAGCCTCACAAAAACACATAACTTGTTTTTATTTCTTTAGATAATTCTATGAAAATGACAAAGATAAGACAGATTGACATAAAATAGTATTTTTGCACCAACAAAGTGATTCCCAAAGAGCTATGAGCTGAAAACCTGGCATATCTCATCATGGTGTGCAGTGTGTCCTTAAAGAAATTGAGGAAACTGGACAAAAGAAGAAGCAGCAAGCTTGAAAAACTATCACGCAAGAACTGGACTTAAAATCAGTGGCAACAGGTCTGATGGAGTGATGAATGCACCAAAATCGTTTGGTCCAAATCATCATCAGCATGTACAGAAGAGGTCAGGAGAGCTACAACAGTGTCTACAGCCATCAGTAAAACACAGTCATGGTTTGAGCTGCATTTCAGTCAGTGGTGTTGGAGATCTTGTTAAAATTCATGAATTACAGAACACAGAAAAGTCCCATCAGATTTTAAACCACCATGGAAGACCATCTGATTGGCAACAGCTTCATTTTTCATCATGACAATGATCCCAAACACACTGCCAATGCAGTAAAATCATCCCTGGACAGAAAAACACACAGCGGAGCACTATCAGTCATGGATCGGCCTCCCTGAGCCCGGACCTCAACATTATTGAAGCAGTGTGGGATCATGTTGACAGAGAACATAACAAAAGGCAGAAACATCCAAAGAAGAGCTTTGAATGTCCTTCAAGAAGCCTGGAGAACTATTCCTGAAGACGACTTAAAGAAATGACGAGAAAGCTGCTGAAAATGATTTGCAGAATTGTTCCTTTGTTTTTATTTTCCATTAAAGTGTAAACATTTATCGGTGGACAGAAGCTTCAGTCTGAATCAAATATGGAATATGGCCTATTGGCCTTGAGGGGAGCCCCACCTCGGTGGAGCCTAATTTAAACCCATATCCTCCAGACCACAACAGGTGCCCCCCTCCTCCACTCCCTTTACGTTCCACCTGTCTTCTCTTCTCCGTGGCGGGCTGGCGATCCAGAAAGCAGCCGTCAGTCATTACAAATGGCGTGCCGGCCCCCTAAGTCACCGGATCGGCGGCAGCTGCTCGACCCCCAGAGCTATTTTCACCCCAGGATAAAGTGGTGTTCAGCGAGCCGCCCGCACGGCCGAGCAGCTCCAGTCACGCTGCAGCAGAGCCAGGATGAAGTCCACCGGCAGCGAGTGCACCGTGCAGCCAGACTGCTTCACCTCAGACCTGGAGGACCTGGACAGCGCCAGCAACAGCTCCGACGGCGGCTGCACGCCGCGCAGGGAGCCGGGGCAGGTGGTCCAGGAGGAGGGAGCCCCGAAACGAAGAAGGAGACGGAGGAGGAGCAGCGGAGGAGACGCGCGTCTGCCCGGCGTGAGCAAACAGAGGCAGGCGGCCAACGCGCGGGAGCGGGACAGGACGCACAGCGTGAACACGGCCTTCACGGCGCTCCGCACGCTCATCCCCACCGAGCCCGCCGACAGGAAACTCTCCAAGATCGAGACACTGCGCCTGGCCTCCAGCTACATCTCCCACCTGGCCAACGTGCTGCTGCTGGGAGAGGACTGCCTGGACGGACAGCCCTGCCTGCGCTACCAGAGCATCCTGCACGGCCCCGCCGCCCTCAACGCACCCTCCCTGCGGCCCATCTGCACCTTCTGCCTCAGCAACCAGAGGAAGCTGGTGAGTGGCTTCTCACACCCATAGAGTCGATTAGTGCCAGGGACGTTTCTCGGATTTCTGGGGGTGGGGTGGCACGTGGACATAAGGAGGGGGGCAAGAAACAGTTAGGGGGTGGTCAGATTCTTCTGTAATAAACCCAAAGCAAACTGCCTGCAAATACTCAGAACTGTGATCATTTTAATTGTGGGCACATCCTGCCTCCATGAACATGAATTAGGGGACGTAACAATATGGTGGCAACACAGAAGCATGAGATTCAGCCACGAGGGAATTAAAGTAAAGAAGAAAAAAAAATTATGGACACAGTCTGGTTACAACCACTGTTAAGTTTGCCAAATAATAATTTGTCATACTTTTCACCTTTTGTTATGACAAGATGACTAAATAATTCAATTTTATTTATATAGCACCAAATCATAAAAACAGCTGCCTCAAGGTGCTTTACAATGTAAGGTAGCGACCCTACAATAGTACAGAGAAAACCCCAGAAATCAGAAGATTGAGCAAGCAGTTGGTGACAGTGGGAAGGAAAAACTCCCTTTTAACAGGAAGAAGAGGTGAGGAGAACTAATAAGTCATGCACGAGGACAAAAATTATAATGAAATGTATCGACACGTTTATCAACAAAGAAAAATTAGATAAAAACATTCTGGAAAGGTGAGACCCAATCAGAACAATTGTGTAGAAAGGCGGGATGAGGTTGGAAGTGATCCAATCACAATGAATTTCTTCATGCAGTAAGGTTAGATGGCACATTTGATCTGCCAAAGAGAAACAATACAACTTTTCAGCATCCAAGGTTGCTGGTGTTGTTGTTATACAACTTCAATGTTCTTTGTTTTGCATGAAAACAAAATTTGCATTTTATGTGACAAATATTTACACTTTATAGTCAGTTTTAGGTTTAGTCAATTATAATCATATTCATTTAGTCGATTAAAATAAATCAAAATAAACACTGGTTACAAGCCAAAGTGCTCATATACACCACTTTAGGCTGGCTCAAAAACTCTCACATTGAGCCCACATGGCTATGTCCATCTTTTATATACAGTCAGTTAAGACATGAAAAAAAAGTTTTTGACATTTATAATTAGGATGTTTTTTATTGCATGTTTTTAAATTTATTGGTGTATATAGTTATAGTCATGCTTTGAGGAGGTCAACACTGTTTCTTCGCATTGTCGTTTGATGTTACTGTACAATTGAAATCTCATTTTAAAGGACAGGGAGAATGTACCACAGATGCTTTTAGCCACATCCATGATTCCTCTGGCTCCGTGAGACGCTATCACTTGTTGTTTGGGTCTGCTCAGGTCCTCAAACCACACAGATCTGCTCAATGCAGACCCAATGATGCACGGTCTTTACATAGCTAGTGGCACCTGTCTCCTTACTGACTGACACCACAAAATGAAATCAGGCTGTGGTGCCTTCAAGAGCCCTCAACCCAGCTGCAGACTTTAAATTAATGATTTGAGCATCACAAATGTTTCTTTGTTCATGAAACATTTGTGAATCCGTGTGGGTCACAAGTGTTTACAGCATGTGTTGGAGTCTGGCTCGGTCCCTTTACGGTTATAAATGCAGAGCAGAATCTGCCACAGGATCGGGATTATTATGTCGCTGTTACATTTAAAGGTAAAAATCTGTAACAACACACATTTTAACTGACCTGTTTAGAGATGAGGATCATGCGGTTGTTGTGACGGTGGTTTCACTGAAGTCTGTTAGTGTGTTTGTTTTTGCCTCCACAGCTCAGAGATGGATCGAAACACTCAGCTGCTGTGTGAAACTTCTTGGCACCAGACAGGCGAGGAGTCCACCACCCCGTGGTGTTGTTTACATGTAGGACTTTGTACATATATGAATATAAATATCTTTATTTTTGGACGAGACGAGAAAACTAAGGACAGATTTAAACACTGAAAAGCACTTTCTGTTCATGCTCATGTGCTTCTGGAGCCTCTGTGTTTTGGTTGAACTGTAACCTGAGCCGATGTGTAAAGTAGCACCTGACGTGGGGCTATTTTGGTCCCACCAATAGTACAAACTACCCCTTGGACACCCCACCACCCTATGTCTGACCTCTTAAAAAAAAAAACAACTAAACTAGTGGCTGCTGTCAGTTCAGTGTTACCTTGCGCTTTAAAGGGGCATTAACTGATGTGTTGCCTATAGTAGTGAACAGTGGGAACTGCAAAAATGCTCATATACATGCGGAAAAAAAAAACCCTGCATGTCAATATCTCAGGACTTTAATCCCCCAGAAGTACAACAGTCAGTGAAGATGTTGAAATTTACACACTGGATTACACTGCTGTTTCCTTACTCCACTCTTCTTATGTCTACCTGGTTAATTTTTGAGCATATTTTTCGTAAAGTGAAAATGTCGCAAGAAAACCTTATAATGAGTTGATCCCAGCATGCAAAGCACTCTGGAAAATCCTTTTGTTCCTTCCCAAATTCCCAAATGCCACCATTTTAACAGATCACATGGAGAAAGCCATGTCTCCTAAAGGAAAAGTGGTCTGTTATTCATTTGATATTTTACAATAATAGACCAGATTATCTGAATAGTAATGATCTGAGTATGAGGATGTGTATCCCACCTCTGGTAGCTGGTATAGATTCCAGCCGCCCCACAACACTGAATTGGATGAGCGTACAAGAATGTGTTTGTTTCGTCAACAAGCTGCCATCAGCACCGGTGACTGGTGTTTGACATCAGTAATACCAGCTTTGGCCTAGAAGCTCTGTGATGCCAAGCTTTTTTTTTTCTTTTTTTTTTTGGCACTGAAAAGAATTATGGATGTGGACTAAAGTCAGACTCTGCAGTTTGTTTTGCTGCCATCTTTCCAGGACAAAGTACTTCCTTTGTGGGATAAAATATCCCATTAAACACAAGAGTGTCGTTTAGTTCTATGGGAACTTAGTGAAGGATCGGTTGAGTTATTTTCAGCGTGCTTTGCATGATTTCACAAGATTGGGAGGTTAATTCCAGTTAATCTGGATACACTTAGATACTGAAGGACATTTAGCATTAAAACGGTTTCCTGAAATAAGCAGTGTGTTCTTAATTTGAAGGTCCAGTTGGAAACTTCCTGGTAACTGTATGTGCGTCAGAAGTTATGTTTTTGGCCTGATTTCAAGATAAAGTTCTTTGCGTAAATGTTTACTTTTGCATTGTTACACGGTTTCCTCATCACTGTAAAAACACTGTGCGATAGGCTTCCTTTTGCTCTAAATTGGGGTGTATTTAATCCTTCTCAATCAGCTGGATCCATCAATTTTTATTGTTCCAGCACTAAACTATGACTGGGAGCTGTTGCACACTACCTCATACCTGTGTTTTGAAATATGAAGGCCTACCTCCAAATCCAATGAGTAAGAAGTACTTGAATACCTGACAACTTGTGTTCTTTGCACATCGCACATACTGAGAAGCTGCTCGAAGAGAAAAATGTATTTTTGTACAATAAAAATAAAAACAATGATATCAAAACTTCAATTGTCTCTCATTTGTGGGCCTTAAACTGTATGTTGTGCTTGTAATTTGCAAACTCTGTAAAAGCACGCTTTGTGTAACTTCCCAAAATGACATTAATCAGTCAAAAGAAAAGAAAAGACTGATTTATGTCTAAAGTGTCTTTTATTATGTTTAGAGACATCAACAGAAGTAAAATTAGGACTAGGCTGCACTTTGATGTAATACCACTTTGGACCACAAGATTGTGTAGTGAGTCAATGCAACCTTTATTTAAACCGATGAGATACCAAGAGCAAATTTCTTTACATTGACGCCAAAAAATAAAGGCAAATGTGGAGGAAATAGGGGAAATATTGGCTTGACAAGGACTCCAGCTTTGGAGAATATGAAGGAAGGTATAAAGTTTTGGACTTTTAACTGTATTTTTTAAAATAAATTTTACAGCTTTTCCTGCTAATAAATACCTCTTCCACAGTCATTCATACTAGACCAAATTAGATAAAGTATTAAACAACAAATGTTCCTGTCTACAATAAAAATTTCAGTAAAAAAAATATCAGTCAATAAAAATATATTTTATAATTACAGGTAGGGATGGGTATCATTTAGGTTTTATCCGATACCGGTGC